ATCAGCAGGGCATGTGGGTAAGGCAGGCAGTGCTTACAATCTCTAGGACAAGTGATTCTGTGTAGTAAACTGAGGGATTTCCTACTCCTCCTGCATTACTCCATATTTCTAAGTTGTTCACAGTGGGCACATACTACCCTTATCAAAAAACATTATTTTCTAGGGCCTCCCCGGTGGCGCAGCGGTTGAGTGCTGGGTTGCGAAGCTGCCCGCAGCCTCTGCAACGCCGGTTTGATCCCCGGCTGCTCCCCGGCCACTGGAGGAGGGTCCCACATGGCGCGCAGACCTCTCCTGCCGCCTGCTGCTCCCCTCAGCAGTGTACTTCGGTCCTTCTGCCTGCTCTGCTCCCTGCTCTGGCTCTGGTGAATTCTCTCACCCTCCCGCGCTTCTGATTGTACCCAGTGCATGTATAAATAAATAAAATAAAATAAAAAATAAAATAAATCTTTTAAAAAAAAAAAAAAACATTATTTTCTAAAGAAAGCAAAATGGAAGTGAACATGTTTTTAAACTTTTTGGTACTTTTTCTTCTAATCTCTTTATAGCACTGAACATTTTTACATAATAGTAATAGATTCTCAGTGTTTCTTCTCAATTAAAAAATGCCAGTGTTTGTATCTTGATAAAATGCCTCTTTCATCCTAAGCTCTTCCTGGGTCTTCTTCCCTTGTCTTGAACTGCAGTATCTGACACATGTGCATTGCCTTGGGAGCCCCATTTGGTTAACAGATAACAATGTGACAAGCAAGAAAAATAAAAGTTTATTATTTCTTCCCGTTAATACACACATCATTAATAATACCCCTTATGTTTTTTTCCATGGGTAAAGTGAGCCTACACATTCATATATTCATTCATTCAACAAATATTTGGTAAGTACTTCTAAATGCCAGCCATTTGACTCTTCAGTTAGGATGCAGAGTCAGTAAAAGAACTGCTGAGGGCCTCCCCGGTGGCGCAGCAGTTGAGCGCTGGGTTGCAAAGCTGCCTGCGGCCTCTGTGGCGCCGGTTTGATCCCCGGCTGCTCCCCGGCCACCGGAGGAGGGTCCCACATGGTGCGCAGACCTCTCCTGCCGCCCGCTGCTCCCCTCAGCAGTGTACTTCGGTCCTTCTGCCTGCTCTGCTCCCCGCTCTGGCTCTGGTGAATTCTCTCACCCTCCCGCGCTTCTGACTGTACCCAGTGCTTGTATAAATAAATAAATCTTAAAAAAAAAAAAGAAAAGAAAGAATAAAATATTAAAAAAAAATCTTAAAAAAAAAAAAAGAACTGCTTGAATAAGGAAATGAATAAGGAAAGAACAATGTGATATGTTATATGCAGAAATAGTAACCAAGGTCTGTAAGACCATGAAGAAAATCCCTTGGATTCTCCTACTCACCTAAATGGTTCTCCTAGAGAAGTCAAGAAAAGCTTTGTACAGATTTTTTTAAAAATTGGACCTCAGAGAGATTTGGTCACACAGCTGGTTAGTGGTTGAGTTAGCATTCAAACCATAGTTGACTGCAAAATAATCCCTGTTCATTCCACCAGACTCTGTTATAAGGAGGCACCTCTGTTACCATTGTTTTCTAAACAAATGTCTGTATTTGGAGAATTCCTGAGTCAGAGACCACAATTACCCCTTTTTTTTCTTCTGCAATTTGTCAAAATGCTGCCAGTCTCTGATTTGATCAAAGAGTAATACAGGAGCTTTGCTACTTTTTACTGATTGCCCATTGACATGTTGTTAATCTTTTTTAGATATTTGTTTCTTTTCTATATAACTGAGAAGGTTGAAATAAATCTCGTTAAGTCTCTCATTTTTTATAACTAGCATGTTGTGACTTCCTACTCTTTTTCAAAGTACATAATATTTCCATAGGAACGTGGGTTTCCAAGTACCTGGAAAGTCTTGACATATGGGTGGCTGAGGCAGAGGAACAGGGGGGTGAGTGGAGCTCCTGACTGCCTGGGTTTGAATCTCAGCTCTATCACTTAGATGCTGTTAATCTTGAACAAACCACTTAACCTCGTTGAGCCTCAGTTTTCTAATTTGTAAAACAGAAATAAGAAGAAGTAGCTCACAGAGTTGATGTGAAGATTCATTGAGCTTATGTCTCTGAACCACTTTTATGGTGTCTGGCACGTAGCACTCAAATGTCACCAGTGATGCTGATGGTTATTTTGTTGGTGCTGATGTGGAGTCCTGGGGCAGTTTTAGAAATCAGAATGCCGCAGTAACTTATTAATGATTCTTTTATAAAGGCACAAAGGAACCAATATGTCCATACATAGAATATGGAATTTCAGTCATTTTTCCCTCAGATGTTCAATTAAGGGGCTGCAGGGTTTGGAGCACTGTTTGCTGCTAAACTTTTCTAATGACCCAGAAAAGACTTCATTAGTCTTGTGTAATGTAGGGTGTTGAATCATTCATTCTTTCCCTTGCTGTGTTCCCAGTGTTCAGGCTAAAACACATGGTAGGCACTTTGCAAATGTTTTTTTTTGAATGAATAAGTGATTTCACACTCCGTACTTAATAACTGGGGAAAATAATAGTGCTGAGAGTGAGACTTTGGCTCTTGGACCTTGGCGTGTGACATTTGTCGAGCTTGTTTTAAGGGGATTTGGGTGCATCCTGTGACAATCAGAGCAGAAGTCTTCTGATACCCATGTCTGCCTTTCTACTTTGATCAATAGGCTTGTTATTTGCCCTTGAAACCTCTGTGGTGCTGGGGAATCACAGAGATTCCTCAGGATGATTTACACCACAATAAATAATCTGTGCCGTCCATTGCTTGCTTCATCAGTGTCTACCCTCTTCATAAAACCCTGGAGGCTCAGTGTCCCCAAGGCTGGAGCACAGTGGACATGTTAACTCCTGTCACAGATGTGTGTGCATTTAAAACATGTGGCTCAGCTTCACTGTTGCTCTAATATGTATCCACAATGTATCTTTCAGGACCAATGTAACTAGACTATTTTCCATCCGACTTTCTTATAGTTACCATACCATTTATTTATTTTATCTCTCTTACATACTACATATATTATCTCATCTAATCTTTACAATAACTTCTGAGTTTGGCGATTATACCCCTTTTGTAAAAATGGAAACTGAAACTGAAATAGGTGAAGCTTATTCTCTTAAATCACATAGCCCATAAGCAATAGAGCTGAGGTTTGAGCTCCGGTCTTTCTGGACACAAAGCTCTTGGCTGCTATACTATGACATTTTCCTCATCTGAAGTTTCTTCTGCTTCTACAAGCATTCTGCACTTATGTTAGTAACCTCTTGCAAAGATCGGTAAGTTTCCTATACTATTCAGAGATGAATTTTAACACCATTGCAAATACATGAAATTTATAGTGACAAACATAGGCAGATTACTTTCTTGTTATCCATCCATTTAGCAAATTTACAGTTCTCATTAATTTTAATCTGTCCTTATTACCTGTTTTATATAATAAATATCTCTTAGTCATGACAGAGTGAGTATAGATCACCTGAAGTAGGCTCTCTCTCAGTAAGCAGAGTTGCAGCTAAAGATTTGTGAATTAATTGGGAAAATTGCAAATCAGGTAGTCAGCGAAATAATTCATTGTCACATCCAATCAATAAACTTTGTAAATCAACTCATTTAATTCAAAAAATGATCTATATAGATCAAGCAACCAATTAAACAATTAGCATACACTTTGCAATTAATTAATTTAAGCATCAATCATATAATTAAAACTCCAAATTTAAGCTGCAAAATGTAGACTCCTACCACCCTGTGAACTGCTAGGTTCATGCTTCTGACGCTCACATGCTTCTAAAATGCCCAAATATGCAGTTTCTCAAATCAGCTTGGAAGCAAGGGATCTTAAATTGTCTGAGTTGATTTCAGTTTCAGATTGTCTTTATGTTGGTATAATTCCCTACCCTTTTCAGCAAAGTGACTTTTTTACTTCTCCCAAAGAAGGAGACATGGTGTGTGTTGATTCTAAACTGGACTAGGCTGGAATCTAGGAGTACTGACTGGATATTGTAGAGAAGTATGAGAAGTCCAGAAATGGTTGATAGGGCCAAGTGTCTATCAGAAGAAATTAGGTCATTTAACTTTTTTTTTTTTTTTTTAAAGATTTATTTATTTATTTATACATACAAGCACTGGGTACAGTCAGAAGCGCGGGAGGGTGAGAGAATTCACCAGAGCCAGAGCGGGGAGCAGAGCAGGCAGAAGGACCGAGGCACACTCTGAGGGGAGCAGCGGGCGGCAGGAGAGGTCCGCACGCCATGTGGGACCCTCCGCTGGTGGCCGGGGAGCAGCCGGGGATCGAACCGGCACTGCAGAGGCCGCGGGCAGCTTCGCAACCCAGCGCTCAACTGCTGCGCCACCGGGAAGGCCCTAGGTCATTTAACTTTATAGTCTCAAGTATGCTGGGTGTTTGGGATCAGATCAGAATATAAAGTGAGCTTTATATTCTCTACAAAAAGAACTGGGTGGTTCTTGGTTATCCTGAGTATGTCTCTGCGCTTGAGCATAGATGTTTTTTTAGTTCTGACCCCAAATCCAAGGCCTCTGATCATCCCCAAATACGTTTTTCCTTGTTTATAGTTTTGTTATGTTATTTGAGCTACATTTTTAAAATTACAGGTAGAGCAGTGCTTACTTTTCCCCCTTCTGTACTATAAGCTCCCTGAAGGTTGATAATGAATCTCATATTTGACCAAGAGTAAGTTCTTTGCCTTTCCAACAGTAGGTGCTTGGTAATATTTGTTACAAGAAAGGAGTAGTAGAAAGCTTTCTGTTTGACATTGTTTTTCTCTCCCTTTGCAGTGCTGTATTTTTCTTTATCCAATGAAGTAGGATTTGGGGGATCTGACTGTTATAGGATTTGGGGGATCTGACTGTATCACCTGGCTTTGGGGTCAAGAACAGTAATGTCCTACTTTGCTTGCTGTATCCTATATTGTCTGGTCTTGTCCCACCCTCACTTTGGTATTCACTCACCTTTTTCATCTTCCTTTTAGTGACAATGTCAGTGCCTACTGCCTGCATATTGCTGAGGACGATGGGGAGGTTGACACCGATTTCCCCCCACTGGATTCCAATGAGCCCATTCATAAGTTCGGCTTCAGTACTTTGGCACTGGTTGAAAAGTATTCATCTCCTGGTCTGACTTCCAAAGAGTCCCTTTTTGTTCGAATGTGAGTATTGACTCTATTATTTCATATCTCATCTCTACTTTCTAGTTTTGTGGGTTTGATTTTGGTTTTGTTCATCAGATGAATGCCATTTGGTATTTGGAGAGTCCACATGTAATGATTACTTCCAGAGAAATGTTAGGGACAACATCTGCATTGCATTTTAGGCCCCTGCAAATAGATTAAATATAGGTGGTTTATATTGGGTAGACCTCTGAGCGTCATATCTATGAACCAGGCCTCTGGATGGACTGGGATGCTTTGGAGGATTTGAAGCAAAACTTCCAAGTTCCCCCTTTGTCTTTGAGGGATCCAAACGAAATGAAAATGTACAATGCAGCTACCTCTCTTGTGATTTAAAATACTTCTTTTTTCTCTCCAACATTTTTTTTAAGATTTATTTATGTATACAAGAAGTGGGGTACAGACCAGAGGTGTGGGCACTGAGAAGATTCACCAGAGACAGAATGAGGAACAGAACAGGCAGATTGACTGAAATACAGTACTGAGGGGAGCAGCGGGCGAGTCAGGAGAGGTCTGCTGCACCATGTGGGTAGCTCCCTGCCCAGCCAGGGATCGAACTCATGCTTCGGTGGCTGCAGATAGCTTCATAAGTTGCGTCCTAATCCCTTGCACCACCAGGGAGGCCCTTCTTTCCAACTTTATTGAGATCAAATTTGGTTTTCCTCTCTGTTGCCTTCCTTTACATTGAACAGGAATTATGAACCTTCCCTGTGTCTTTGGCAGTCTGGTAAAGCCTATAAACACGCTTTTCAGAAAGTGTTTATAAAAGCAGAAAATAAAATTCACATGAGTACAAAAGAATTTCAATGTATTTAAATAGATATCAAATTATTAAACAAATTTATGATTTAGTAATATGTGAGGCTTCATTGTTATAGTAATAACAAGATCCACTGGCAAGTCTAATAGTAACTTCTAAAGTCTCTTTTCAAAGTAGCAGAGAGACTAAGGGCTTTGGAGCCATCTGCAACAACACATCTCATTTCTGCTCCTCCAGTCCCACTTACTGCTAACGCTGCTGTGATTTGTTGGCTACATTTAGAATTTAAGAAATGCTAAATATCAGTTAGAAGTTAGTGAAAATAAAAAATGTAATTCTGTCCATCTCAGTCTACAGAGATCATCCGTTTTGACCACATGTCTCAGTTGTTAGTGGGAAACCTGCAGCATTTTCTAAGCGCAGTTTAAGCTTTTCTGATTGAGGCCAGAGCAGTCCCTCTCATGGCCTCTCCTGGGAACAATAGAGATCCCTTTGGCACCCCCTGCTGTTAGTAACCAGCAAATTCACTATCCAAAAGAGGGAGTGCTTTACATCACTTTCCCCCTCTGTCTCTTTAAAATATATTGCCTTTGTCTCAGATTTTTACTAAAAATAGAATTATGCTACCTATGATATGCAAGTATTTTGGATCTTTCTATCCTTGAACAAAGAAAGAATACTTGAGTGCCTGTGGGTGAGCTGGGAGTGGCTCCTTGAGTCTTTGCGATTGCCATTTCATCCCCATTGCGAAGTCACGTTTGGTGTATAGAGCACATTGCAGACACATTGAAGCAACAACTTTACAGAATACCTCAAGTAATTTCAAAGTTACCTAGTGATTCCTCTATCCTACTATAACTGTTTTCATTTCCAGATAATCCCATGTGATATACATTAGCGTCTCCATCTCACTTGCAAACTGGATTCTTTTTACTTCACATTATATTGCAAATATTTTGATATATACTTTTAATTCCTATAAGGTAAATTTATTGTGTGCCAAGGATCTAGACAGAGACAACCCCTCTCAGTGCTCATGCTAGTAGGGAAATCATTGTCAAACAAATCATTAGAATGTAACTAGCAGAATAATAGAAAAATGCACAGGGTGCAGTGTAAGCCTATCATGGATGCTTAGATTGTTTCGGATTTAATAAATGATTCTGTGACAGTCCTTCTCAGTATCCCTTTTATTTCTGTTTAGTAACTTTCTTAGGATAATTTCATGTGAGTGGTATCATTGGTCAGCATAAATGCACCTGTAGACTCTTGCTTTATAGTGACTTGTAGTCTCCTGACAAATGGACTGATCTGCGGTGCTACCAGTGGAATTCGTTAACTTTTTTCCACCTTTACAATCACGAGATGTCATTAGAAGTTTTTGTTTTCGTTTTTTTACTTCAGAAGATGTATATACTAATTTTGTGTATTTCTGTTACTATGCAATAGATGTGATCAGTAGTTTCCATTTACATTTTTACTGAATAAATAACTAGAAGAATTGTGTTCTCGTTGACACAATTTTTACTACATAAATATTAACGTATGAACATAGTGGTCTTTTGAACCAAAATTCCTTTTTAAAACAAGTGTTTTTAAATCAGTGGTTTTCAATAGAGCGGGGTTGGGGTGGAATAGGTGTACCCTCCCAGCAGCATCATCTAAGACTGCACAGCGTCCTGCCCCTTCTTCCCATAACTGGGGCGAGGGTAGGGGAGCCAGAGTAACAACCACTGCTTAAAACTTAGTATTCCTCTTTCCCCCTGAAGTACTTCCATCCCTTCCATCCTGTACATACCTGCTTAGACACACACACAGTCAATCCTTTTCCTATTTTCAAATTCAAGAGAGTTTATTCCACATGTCTGGAATGTTTCTGGAACAAGAGGTAAAGTAAAATCTTTTCAGGTGAACATTTAGAACAAGAGGGTCAATAAATTTTCTATTTCTTTTTCTCAGTTGTCTGATGAAATAGAACAGATTGCTGATCGTTTGCCCTGTGTTGATTTTCTTGGTTCAGCAACCATTTGCCTTTCTGGTTTATATCTAAGTTTTAAAAGCCTCTTGTGCTTCAGGAGTCTCCAGAGATGTATCGAAAGTTTCAGAGAGGGCAGTCCCAGTGAAAACAAGTAAAGCATGACTCCTTTTCATGCTCTTCTTTTCCTCCTCACATCTCTTGGCCAGTGGAGAATGAGCAGCAAGTGTCTGGGAAGACACTGAACTGAGGCAGGAGGAGAGAAAGCTAGGTTTGGTAGGAAGGAGTGAATTAGTACTTGCTAAGAGTCGGCTACGTGTATATTTTTTCATGTAATCTGAAAATAGCCCAATTTTTATTATGACCATTTAAGAAACATGAAGACTGAGACTGAAGTATTTCTCTCAGCTTGACCCCATGCTGACTTCAAAGTTAGTGCTCTTCCGACGCCCTGCGGAGGCTTGGGCTGGAGGTAGGGGAATCTGTTGTCAGTCCAGCATCTAAGTGGATTCTGTGCCTTAAAGCCAACACTCATCCAGTACTATAATGTAATAGGTAAGAGCACGGTGGCCTCTGGAGCCAGACTCCTGGTTCCTGGGGTCACTCCTGACCTTGCCCTTTACTAGTGTGTGTGAGAGATCGTGAATTAATTATTTAACTTTTCTATGGCACAGTCATGAGGATAATAATAATACCTACTTTATAGAGCTGTTGTGAGGATTGATGGTTTAATGTATGTAAAACACTTAGAACAATGCCTGACCTATGTCAGCATTGTCTAAGTGTTTGCTGCAGTTTCGTTATTAATAGAAATCCTTTGAAGTCAAGAACTGGATCATTTGTGCCCATAATACCTACATAGTCCATTACCACAGTAGGTGTGCTGCAGAGATTTCTTGTCTGGGTAACTAAATAGATCTCATTGCTGCGTCTATATTTTTTTCCTTCCTCTGTTTTCCAAATGAGATAGTGCAGACTTTGAACTTAGGCTAATCTGGGTTTAAGTTTCCGCTGCACTAGCCATTTGCTATGTAATCATTAGTTGCTTCATCTGCAAAATGAGGATAATAGTAACTACCTCGTGGGATTGTTGTAAGGAGTTTTCTTAAACACAGGTAATGTATAATCCTCTTTTAAAGGAAAATTAATTCTCCTGAAAATTAATTCTCAGTACTACTTGAAAACATAGTTATGTAAGTTCTAGTCGTAAATTCCCTGTCTTTATGCAACCCAAACAAAATTACAAGTTAAATATATATAAAACTATAACATTAATAAAATACAAATTAAAAACTATAATGCTACATATGATATTTTGCTGAAATTAAACTGCTGATGTTGGGTTCAATGGCTGTTAAATGTTTTACTTGTCAGCTTGAGTCTTTCAATATGAAACCAGATCACCATATTATTCCTTGTCCTTTTAAGCAGTTAATGTGTTTACTATTATTCCGTTATTTTAACAGGCCAGTTGATTTATAATGCACACCACCACGCCCTCCACCAATTTTAAATGTTCTTTACTGGCAAAATAAAGAACATTTCTTCTGGGGTGACCAATTTATACCAGTTTGTCCAGGAGTTTCCCTAGTTCAAAGCTGAAAGTCCTGCATCCAAGAGAAACTCCCTCAGTCCCAGGTGGTCATTGTACTTTCTGCTATTGTCAATCGGTTGGTATATAAGTAGACTGCCTGGGTGACACCTGTGCGCAGTGTGACTCGGGCCCCGCAGAGCATGCAAACCTGTTCCACGGAGAGCGTGGCACCCACTTCTCCCTTTTCTTTCCTCTGTTCAGCAAACTGTTTTTGCATGCGGCTTGCAATGATGCCATTTCACTTTTACTAACTAAAACTAAGTCTGTTAGCAATATTAAATTTTTAACTCCAGCTGCTGGAGCCCATAATCCCCCACAAATCCCACCAGCTTATCCCATAGGATGGCAGGTTTTTTCTATGTAGGGTCAGAGAGTAAATCTTTAGGTTTGCAGACATACAATCTTTGTAACTCAGTTCTGCCATAGTAACTTGAAAGTGGCCATGGACAATATATAAGCAAATGGACATGGGCTAGCTTTTTCAACTATAGCTTTTCCAATCACATTGTTGATATCTGTCTGGTGAGGATCAGGGTCAGATGACTCTTCTGGGTATTTCTCCTCTTGGCAGTAAGACAGGACTCCCCTAGGTGGGCAGAGAATGGGGAGCATGGAAGACTGGGAGTGGCCTACGTCTGTATCAGTCTATCTGTTGCTTGTATCACTATATATACATCTGTGTAGATGTTGTTTTGTGTACATACACAATCTACAAATCTACAAATACATCTATAATCTCCAAATACATCTATGTGCATATATAGTAACTTACATAAACATTAGAGCATTTTCATTGTATTAAATATATATCATATGTTTATGGTACATGTATTTATGTGTGTGTGTGTATGTGTGTGTATATATATATATAATTTTCATTGAACTAAAAGCAAAATTTTTAAATTCTAAAACTTAGGGAGCCTGTGAATTCATCTGTTGACCCTGAGGGGCCCTTGGACCTCAGGTAAGAAATGCTGCCATAAAGAAATAGCTCAGACCCTGGGATGTAGGAAGTATTACATAGTTGCTGTTTTTGTTATTTTTGTCAGACATTTATCTGAATATTTGAATAATTTACACTAAGGTGTATATATGAGGTTTAACCTTTTGTTGGGTTTGTTTTTTTTTTTGCATGATTGATACATGTCTATACTAGAAAAAATAGAAAATAAAGCTGTATGTCTCCATATAAAAGAAAATTTTAAGTATCCCCTTGTTTCCTCATGTAAAGATAATGGCATATTGTTTAATTATGTATATTCAAAAAAAGGAGCTAGTTAATATAACTAGATGGTTGGGAAAGTGTCCTGTTAAAAGAATGTGGAACTGGATGCCTTTTGAATTCTACCAAGGGGCCTTCCTCTCCAGGGCCCCTTGGTCTCAGGACACCCCTGGAAAGAGTTATCTGAGGAGGTAGAATGGATTATTGTAACTTGCAAATTAGAAGCCTACTAGTGGAGATTGCCTCTTTTATAGAATGGGCAAGTGGGTGTCTAAGATATCTCTTGTTCTTGATTGATTTTAGATAGCAAACACGTATATAAACAGGAGCCCCAAACTTGCTGGCTGCTAGCTTTAGCACTGACGTTATTTGGTTATCAGCAGTGTGGGAAGGGAGAAGTAGGGGGAAAAGAGCTTATGGGGGTTGGATTAGCTCCCAAATTGGATAAAGAGCTGGATCTCAGCTGGTTCCCAACATCTGGAAAGTGCTTTTTGTCAGAAATGACTGAGTCGAGGCCTATTGGATCTTAAGACGTAGTGTATGTAAGGCATGGGAGGATGAGATCCTGGAGCAGACAGGTGAGGAAACTGCTTGGTCTGTCACTTTCCATCCCTGAGCTCAAGGGGTAATTTAATCAAAATGTATGGAACTCAATTGAGTTTAAAAATGGTCATGACAAAAGCAACTGTGATGGTGCCCTTCTGTAATGTTTCACACCTGGATCCTATTTTAGATTGGGGAAGAGAAGTCTAAACCAGTATAATGGACAGAATCCCTGGACATCAGAAAATCAGAGCAATTAAACTGCCTTCATGTATGTGTTTTATTGAAAATGTTTAATAGATATGGGGATATGGGAAGGGAACTATTCTAACCAAGGGCCGCAGCGAACATAGAATCCGGTTAAGATTTGCTGTTTGGGAAAGGCCACATTGCGGAGGTAATTGGCAGAGGGTCTTGCACCAGAAGCTGGGCTGTGTGGGCAGTGTGCCCCGGAGGGCTGTCCCAGACTCCTCTGGCTCTCCGAGAGGAAAAAGGGAACTGCCTTGTAAAGAGGCATACCCTAGATTCATTGCTCTAAGAAGTTGAGGGTTTCTCAAAAGAGTTTGCCTTCTCCAAAGTATACCCCACGTGACCAGACCTTTATGAAAGGATATCATTACTTTTGAAGCCTTTTCTAGTCTTATGTGATACTGCCTTGTGGTCTGGAGAGGAAGAGGGAAAAAAAAGAAGAGGTAAATAAGCATTTCTGTATACTCACTCAGTTTGCTGCCCCTACTAGCCATTGTCTCATTTTTTCCTTATAAGCAGTTCATACTATTAATATATAAACTGAGCATCAGAGACAAGTAGTAGTTACCCAGGGTCATACAGTTTGATGGTGAGCAGCGCTAAAATAGGATAAGCAATTTAAAAAGACGCCTTTTGTTCTTTGTAGTCAGGCCTGACAATATGGGTATAAATTATTCTGGTTATTTATTGTTTGCTCGAGTCATAGAGGACCAACTGTGTGTTGTTTCTTTTCATTCTGTTGTATTAACAAACATTTTCATTGTCCAGATTGTCCTCGTATATGGAAATGTAACATATGCAGCCTGTTTAATTTTGTATTTGTAAATCTGACTTGATTTCCTTTTTGGCAACAGTTACTGTCTAGAGAAAAGAAAAGATTTTTCTTTGTGTCTGTTTAAAGTGACAGAAATATTGGAGCACGTAATAAAGATGGAAAGCATTAATTACGTACTTCTAAGAATTTAAAGGTCAGACAAGCTAAATATGTGTGTTTTGCTCACTGGAATGTCTGTTGAAATTGTGCCAGGATACTCTTTGTTCCTACAATAAAAGCACATGTTTTCGATAGCCATCCATTTACTTTGGTGTCCAAAAATTATACCAGATTGTTGCTTTAGTTGCTATGTATTTTAAAAGTTTAGGGTCTACATTTCTGACATTTAATGTGATTTGTTGCATGATCCACCCCCTTTGGCCATGTTTAGTTACTATGTCTCATTTTGATTTCCTCTGTTCTCCCCTCAGCTTATGTTGGAGTCTGTCAGCTGCTGCTATGTACATGTCAGGCTAGTGACTTGTAATGTTTATTAATACAATGTCAGTCTTGCCGTTGAAAAAACGGTGATGCTTCTCAGAAGGTTGCACTGGAACGAGGCATTTGATCTCTAGATCCTGTCTGCGCTGCATGGTGAATACATTCTCAGAGGTTATGCAGTTCACTGACCTGACAGTCATGGAACCCCGCCGGGGGGCCCCATTTCAGCAGGACATATTTGAACAGAAACAGTTTGCAAAACTTTCCACACTTAAACTCCTGCCAAGGCAAACTGTTAGCCACTTGAGTTTGTTATAAATACCCAGTGGCAGTGGTTGGAAGTAGCCCACAGTGTGTTTTATATTCTGAACTGAATGTGAATGTCTTTGCGGTTATATAGAGTAGTAAATAATTGAGTTTGATTAGGGAGAGGGACCTCATTATCCCCCACCTGTGCCCAGCTGGAAGGGGAGGGTCGAAATGAAGCCATTAGCTGTCTCTCTTACTGGCATCTCAAAGAGCTCAAATACATCTGTGTCTTATTTTCTTTTCTGGCACAATCAGTCGAGCAAGCTAAGCAGGCATGACCAGATTTGGCAAGTCCCAAGGACTCTGGCAAAGATACACAAGGAGAAGGCGGAGGGCAGTCATTTTGGCTTCTCACTGCCCATTAGTCTAGCAAGTTATGTTTTTGGAAAATGTCTGTTTTGAAAAAGAGTACTTTGTCCAATGTCAGACATCGCTTACTCACATAATACACTTTGATCTTAAAAAAATTTTTTTGTCAGTGCAAGGGGAAACAAAATGTGGCATTCATACTAGTGCAAACGCTCTTTATGGATAAAGTAATGCCCGAAGGACATGCGTTAAGGCAGGCATGCTGCAGTTATTACAAGGCTTTCTCTTGCTCATATATTTTCATTTTCTGCCTTGAAGTGCTGGAGAATGAGCATGCCTGGAATGGGGAGCCGAACAGGTGGGAACCAGAAGACTGTCTTCATTGCTGTTATGAGCTGCTCAGGACTGAGGGACTTGAGTGCAGCTCTTGGCAGCCTCTTCCCACTTCCACAGACTGAGACTGTGGCTCACGAAACCATGACATTCTCCAAGTGCTTTAAAAAAGGGATCTTGTAGGTCCTATGGTTGTCTAAGAGTTGGGCCAGTCATAATCAAACTCAGTATGTACAGAAGTAGAACCTTTTCCTCAGATTGGGCAGTGGCGCCAATCTGGAGCATGTTTCTCTGGAAGTCTCTTCTTGAGTCCCCATGACTCCCTTCTGGACTGTAGACAGTTATAAGCACAGGCTCTGGAATCTGGCTGACCTGGGTTCAAGGCCTGGCTCCTCCACTTACTAGCTGTGTAACTCCAGTTTGGGCCTTGCCAAAACTCAGTCTCCTCCTCTATAAAATGGATCAGTAATACCTGTCTTTTATAGGAGGATGAACAGATGAACAAAGTAAGTGCTCAGTATTATGTGTCACTTCATTATACCTATGGCGAGAAGCTCATGTTTATGATGTTACTATTGCTGATGAAGCACTTTGTTATATGACAGATGTTATATTAAGTACTTTAGAAGTAGTTACCCCTCGGGCCTCCCCAGTGGCGCAGCGGCTGAGCGCTGGGTTGCAAGGCTGCCGCAGCCTCTGCGGCGCCCGTTCGATCCGGGGCTGCTCCCCGGCCACCGGAGGAGGGTCCCACATGGTGCGCAGACCTCTCCTGCCACCCGCTGCTCCCCTCAGCAGCGTACTTCGGTCCTTCTGCCTGCTCTGCTCCCCGCTCTGGCTCTGGTGAATTCTCTCACCCTCCCGCGCTTCTGACTGTACCCAGTGCTTGTATAAATCAATCAATCAATAAATCTTTAAAAAAAAAAAAAAAAGAAGTAGTTACCCCTCATAACAGTCTACAAATTATTATCCCGCTTTTGTAGATGAGCAGACTAGAAGGTAAATTGTCATTTGCCAAAGGAAGGCAGGGCTGGGAGTCCAAACTTTGTTCTAGCACACACTGTTCTCCGCTGCCTTCTGGTGTCACCACCATCTTTACCGAGGTGTGGAAATAAACAGTGACTGTTTTGTTTTTTGTTTTTTGTTTTTTTAAAGATTTATTTATTTATACAAGCACTGGGTACAGTCAGAGGCGCGGGAGGGTGAGAGAATTCACCAGAGCCAGAGCAGAGAGTAGAACAGGCAGAGTGATAAAGTACACTGCTGAGGGGAGCAGCCGGTGGCAGGAGAGGTCTGTGCGCCATGTGGGACCCTCACCCGGGCATCGAACTGGCGCTGCAGAGGCTGCAGGCAGCTTCTCAACCCAGCGCTCAACTGCTGTGCCACTGGGGAGGCCCAGGGACTGTTTTTTGAGACAGCTCCACTAAGGAGTTTCTCTGACCCCCTGCCCCATACTTTAGTGGGCTAAGTGCCCCTGGCAGTACTCTGACTTGCCCTGAACTTTGTGCATATCAATAGAACTCTGTCTGCTTCTGGTCTTTCCTACTGGACTGTGCTGGTTGGGTTAGGGACCACTGATGGTTTCTGAACCTAAAATAGGATTTTTAACAGATAAGTGAGCTCAGGTAAACTCCCTAATACAATCAGAATTAGTTTCTGTTAAACGGATTTAATAATAGTACCTGTTTTAGGACCGAATGAGCTAAATTTAATACAGATTTTAAAAACAATACAGCACCTGGTGCATAGTAAGTGTTCAGTAGCTAGTAGTTGCTGCTATTGTTGTAACTGTTGAATAATAACATTGTACTGTGCAAGTCAAAAAACTCTTATGTGTCATTTAATTTCTCTGCCAACATGCTCTTTGACTTCTGCACATCCCCTTCCAAAGTCAGTGACTGAAGCTGAGGCGGAACAACACACCTGTGTTTCCCAAAAAGGAAAGTCTTGATAATAGCCACGAGTGCTCTCCTTTGTGCTCCAGGGGTGTTTCGGTGCCTGGGTGAGTCTGCTTGCGACAGTGCCTTTGGATGTGCCCAGCAAATTGTACATTTTAATTGGCCTATGTTCCCAATTACAAGCAGTGAGGGTTGGGATCATTTCCCCACATAAGCAATCTCTGCCTGGGAGCAGGGAAAAGAAACTGAATGGGGCCTGTTCTCTTGGGGGTGATGAATTGGAACAAGGGGAACACAGGAGAGCTAACATTTGGACATGGCTTTTACTGTTTGCCAGCCTTAGTGCTGGATGCTTGGCATTCACTGTCCGTTTTATTTTTCTGATAATTCTGTAAGGAAGTGCCTCCCTGGTTTCATGGGTGCAGGTGAGACTTCTACATGTTAAGGCAACATCTTGGGGAGCCATGGAACCGAGAATTGAACCAAAGGGTACTTAACTCTCAACTCATGCTGTTTCTTCTTCAGTATGCTGCCTTCCACCTTGGGTTCTAGCTCTGTTTCCTTAAAAAGAAACACACGAGCACTGTGCCCCTACTTCTTTTCTGTCCCTTGTTCCCCTGACTTGAACATTTAGTGGAGAAGCACTCATTGTTTGGTTAATGCTGGTATAAAAACCTCCCTGTGGTAACTGAGTGACTTTGCACTGGGACAGAGCTGAATTCCTCAAGTGAGTAATCTCTTTTTAAAGTGCCCGTACATTTTTCAGCGGTTACAAGACGTGACAGGACCTAACTTTGAATTGACTGAAGCGCTCCTGGCTGCATGTAGTCAGCTCCCTGAAGTGGAGCTTCCTCGTATACCCAGCACAGGCTATTCAGGAGCTGCGAGAGGCAGCTGCTTCTGTGTGGTGCCCCTCGAGTCCCTGTGCTGGCAGAGAGCAAGCTGTCTGTCCGCAAGGGGAGTGGGAGGAGGAGCAGCTCTGAGCCGAGACTCTGGGTTTGTAGCCCATCTGTCTATCCATCGGTTTGTCTGCCCGAGGGCTAGTCACCCCCTGCATGGGTCTCAACTCAGAGACTGGAACGCAGTGCCATAAGGTAGGGAGGCAGGATATGGCACCCTAACTCCATGCGGCCAGCATTCCCCCCAATTATTGTCTTCAAATCAGACCAATGCCCAACATGAAATAAAAGTGCCTGTTAAAGATGTATTTCAGTAGACTTTTTGGAAACCCGTAAAAAATCCTGAATATAAAGAATGAGGCGTAAAACCCTGAATGTTTGGAAGGCAAGCTGAAAATTGTGGTAGCAAGTCTCCATATCCACTTATTAAATGGGAGCATAACTTACCGGTTGCACCTAGATGGGGTCTGAGGAATACTCTTGTGTTTAAGAAACAATTTACCCCTTTATGTGCTATGGCCTTGGAACAGGATCCAAAGTTGGCATTGTCAAGGGGAGAGGAGGGGTAAGCGAGAGCTGACCTGAGGAAGCTCTCATGAGGTCTGGTTAGTGTACAGCGCACGGGCTACAACCTCTTGCTCCTTTTAATGTGTGTGTTTTTACCAAAATGGAGCCCCAGGGTAAGAGGCCGCACACTCGTGAAGACGCGTTCCGAGCGCCATGCGTGCCCCTTCCCTGCACTGTTGTTTTCATTTTCCTCTCATGAACCTTGCTACCCTGGCTTCAGCACGGAGGCTGTAAAGGAAGATGGAGAGCCGAGTTACCTCAGAATGATCACTATCGTTAACATTCACGGGTGGTTCACTTATCATTCCTGACTGCACAGACATGGCAGCCGCTCGGAAGCGTCCGCAGGTGTAGCGTGGTGATACATATTACATTGTGCCACAATGGATTTA